GCGGCGCCGCGGCCATGACACCCCCCCGCTCACGTGACCGCCCGTTCACATGACCCGGGGAACACCCGACCCGGGGCCTGGCCCCACCCCCTGAGCGAGAGCCAGCCAATGGGTGACCGGGTAAAAGCCGCTCCGGCCACGCCTCGCGCTCTGATTCGCCGCGGCGCGCGCGGGGGGCGGGGCGTAACGGAATGGCGCGAAGACACCTTCCAACGGAGGGGGGCGGGGACATAGCGGAGACAAACCAATGAGGAAGCGGAGCGCAGATGATTGACAGCTCGCGGGGAGGGCGTTTGCAACGGCGGGAACCGACGGGTAGCCAATGAACTCTAGCGGCTCCCGGAGCCCCGCCCCCGCCCAGCCGTGGTTGGCGGGGAGCGAGTGACGAGCATTCATCTCCTCCAATAGGAAGTCAAGGAGTCGGTTCCCTCACGGCGGCGGGGGGGACTGAGGGTCCCAAAGGCTCCGGGACCCCCCCCGGGACCCCCAAACTGCCCCTGGATCCCCCCAAACTCCTCTGGGAACCCTCCAAACTCCCCTGGGAACCCCAGACTGCCCTCGGATCCCCCCAAACTCCCACTGGATCCCCCTCAAGCTCCCCTGGAAGCCCCCCACACACACACTCCTCTTTAACCCCCAAATTCCCCCGGGCCCCTCCAAATGCTCTGGGACTCTCCCTTCCTCCCAGACTCCCCCCGGACATACCAAACTGCTCCTGAACCCTCCTAAACTCCTCTGGGACTCCTAAACTGCCCCCAGGCCCCGCTTCACACACCCCCCTCAGGTATGTACAGACCACACCAGTGCCAGGACCACCTTTTATTGCCCCCTCCCCGATTCCCCCTCTCGCTGTCACCAGGGTGGGGACATGGGCTGGGGGTTCTGCAGGTAGGACATGACCACGGCCGAGATGGAGAGCCTGGAGGGGACACAGACATCATCAGAGACCCCTCAAGGCCCCCAGGGCCCCCCCGGGATCCCCCCCCGGGACTCACATGAAGCTGCTCATCATCTGCTTGGTGTCCTCGGAGCTGCGGGAGTTGGCGAAGCTGATGAAGGAGCAGTACACGGCGATCCAGGCACACCACTTGAGCTGGGGAACCCCGGGACACCCCCTGTGAGACCCCCCTGAGACCCTGGGGAGGGGTCCTGAACCACCTGAGACCCCCGGGAATGCTCCCAGGGACCCCCCAGGTGAAGGAGCAGTACAGGGCAATCCTAGCACGCCACTTGAGCTGGGGAACCCTGGGACACCCCCGTGAGAACCCCCTGAGACCCTTGGAGGGGTCCTGAACCACCTGAGACCCCCGGGAACCCGCCCAGGGACCCCACAAGTCCCTGGGCAATCCAGGCACGCCACTTGAGCTGGGGAGCCCTTGGAAGCCCCTCCAGAGAGCCCCTGGGGATGGATCCTGAGACCACCAAGATCCCGTGGGGATGGGCCCTGACACAACTGAGACCCCCTCAAGAACCCCTGAGACCCCTTGAACACCCTGGGAATGAGCCCCGAGACCCCCTGAACACCCTGAGAACGAGCCCTGAGACCCCTTTGAACGCCCCATAGACGAGCCCTGTCCCCTCCAAGCCCCCCCAAGGGACTCTATCCCTGTGCCCCCACCCCGGAACCCCCCCAGGGGACGGCCCCCAACCCTCCCGGTGCCCCCCCCGGGCCCCCACCTTGAGCATGAGCCCGCACATGCTGAACACCATCCCCAGCAGGTTCATGTAGTCGGGGGTCGGGTCCTCCAGCGCCGGGTTGGTCTCGGTGGCGGGGGGCTTGTACCTGGGAGGGCGAGGGGGGGGCCCCCGGGGGCTGTCCTCGGTCCTCCCGGTGTCCCCCCAGGTCCTCCGGGTCCCTCTCCCGGTGCCCTCCCGAAGGTACCCCCGGTTCTTCCCCTTGTGCCCCCCCTCCCCGGCCCTCACCCCCAAGGTCCTCCCGGTGTCCCCCCAGGTCCTCCCGGTCCCCTCCGGGTCCCTCTCCCGGTGCCCTCCTGGAGGTACCCCCGGTTCTTCCCCTTGTGCCCCCCCCCAGTCCCTCCCCGGTGTCCTCCCCCTCCTGTCGGTCCCCATCCCCCGGACCTACCTGGCCACCTTGCCGGGTCTCCGCGGGTCCGCCATGGCCCCGCCGCCACCACCGGCACCACCGGCACCGCCTCTTCCGTTCTCCGGGACCGCCCCCGGTGCCACCCCCCGTGCCACCCCCGGGACCGCCCCCATCGCCGGTACCGCCCCCGGTGCCACCCCCGGGACCGCCCCGGTACCACCCCGGTGTCACCCCCCCGGTACCACCCCCATCGCCGGAACCCCCCCGGTGCCACCCTGGTGTCACCCCCCCGGTACCGCCCCCATCGCCGGTGCCGCCCCCGGTGTCACCCCCCCGGGACCGCCCCCATCGCCAGGGCAGCCGGGCCAGCTCCGGGACCGCCCCGGTACCACACCGGTGCCACCCCCGGGACCGCCCCCATCGCCGGGACCGCCCCCGGTGCCACCCCCGGTACCGCCCCCATCGCCGGTACCACCCCGGTGTCACCCCCCCGGTACCGCCCCCATCGCCGGTGCCGCCCCCGGTGCCGCCCCCCGGCCCGGCCATGGCGTTCCCGAGGCCGCGGCCCGCCCGGCCCGAGCTGCCCCGGCAGCGGGTGCGGAGCCTGCAGTGCGGGCAGGGAGCGGTGCGGGCCGCCCGCTTCAACGGTGAGACCACGGCGGTAGGGGGGGGGGGAACCGGGAACGGGGTTTGGGGGGTCCCGGGAATGGGGTTTGGGGATGCCGGGGCAGGTTTGGGGGGCCTGGAGATCCCAGGGAAGGTTTAGGGGTCCCGGGGGTCCCAGGGCAGGTCTGGGGGTCCCAGGGAATGTTTGGAGGTCCTGGGGTCCCAGAGCAGGTTTGGGGATCCCAGGGCAGGTTCGGGGGTCCCAGGGAAGGTTTGGGGGTCCTGGGGTCCCAGAGCAGGTTTGGGGATCCCAGGACAGGTCTGGGGGTCCCAGGGCAGGTTTGGAGGTCCTGGGGGTCCCAGGGCAGGTTTAGGGATCCCAGGGCAGGTTTAGGGATCCCAGGGGGATCCCGGGGGGGGGTGTGTGCCCATCTTTGGGATCCCGTTCATGGGGGGGGGGTCCCACAGGGGGGGTCACCGCCTGCCCCCCCCCTCAGCCGACGGGAACTATTGCCTGACGTGCGGCAGCGACAAGACCCTCAAGCTCTGGAACCCCCACAAGGGCACAGCCCTTCGCACCTACCAGGGCCACGGCTACGAGGTGCTGGACGCCGCGGGGGTAGTGCGGGGAGGGGGCTGCGGGGAGGGCCATGCCCCTGGGGGACCCTCCCACCCCAATCACGGGACCCCTCCCAGTTTGTGTGTCCCAGCCTCAGATCGTTTGACAACAGCCAGATCTGCTCGGGCAGCGCCGACAAGGCCGTGCCCTTTTGGGACGTGACCACCGGGGCTGTGGTCCTCAAGTACCGGGGGCACGCGGGGGTGAGCCCGGGGTGGGGGGGCAATGTTGGGGGGTCTGGGGGGGGATTTCGGGGGGTACAGGGGGAACTGGGGGGTCAGGGAGGGGATTTCAGGGGCTGGAGAGGGGATTTGGGGGGGTCACAGGGGGAACTGGGGGGTCGGGGAAGGGATTTGAGGGGCTGGAGAGGGGATTTGGGGGGGATCACAACAGGGAACTGGTGGGGGTTGGTAGGGGCTATTTCGGTGCTGCTGTGGGGGGCTTGTCGGGTGTCACAACAACACAGGGGGGAAACTGTGGGGTCAGTGAGGGGGATTCAGGGGCTGGAGAGGGATTTGGGGGGGTCAAACAGGGGTACCGTGGGGGTCGGAGGAAGGCTGTGAGGGCTGGAGGGGAATTTTGGAGGGGATCACAGGGGGAATTGGGGAGTCAGGGAGGGGATTTGAGGGGCTGGGGGGGGATTTCGGGGGCTAGGGGGGTATATGGAGGGTCAGGGAGAGAATTTGAGGGGCTGGGGGGAGATTTGGGGGGATCACAGGAGGAATTGGGGAGTCAGGGAGGGAATTTGAGGGGCTGGAGGGATATGAGGGGTCGGGGAGGGAATTTGGGGGGCTGGAGAGGGGATTTGGGGGGGGTTACAGGGGGAACTGGAGGGTTGGGGAGGAAATTTGAGGGATTTGGGGGGGATCACAGGGGGAATTTGGGAGTCAGGGAGGGGATTTGAGGGGCTGGGGGGGATATGGGGGGTCGGGGAGGGGATTTGGGGGGGTCACAGGGGGAATTGGGGAGTCAGGGAGGGAATTTGAGGGGCTGGAGGGGGGGATTTCGGGGGCTAGGGGGGTATATGGAGGGTCAGGGAGAGAATTTGAGGGGCTGGGAGGAGATTTGGGGGGATGACAGGAGGAATTGGGGAGTCAGGGAGGGAATTTGAGGGGCTGGAGGGATAAGGGGGGTTGGACAAGGAATTTGGGGGGCTCACAGGGGGAACTGGGGGGTCAAGGATTTGAGGGGCTCCCAGGGGGATGTGGGGGGCCTGAGGGGGGTGTCTCCCAAGGGGGAATTCGGGGGGGGCCGAGGCGCTGACTCCCCCCTTCTCCCACAGAAGGTCAACTGCGTCCAGTTCAACGACGAGGCCACTGTCATCGTGTCCGGTGAGGGGCCAGTTTGGGGGGTCCCCTGCGAGCCCCCAGACCCCTCTTTTCCCCCCCAAGACTCCCCAAAACTCCCCTGACCCCCCCTTTTCCCCCCCCCCAGGCTCCATCGACTCCACGGTGCGGTGCTGGGACTGCCGCTCCCGCCGCCCCGACCCCGTGCAGGTCCTGGACGAGGCCAAGGACGGCATCTCCAGCGTGAAGCTCTCGGCCTACGAGATCCTCTCGGGGTGAGGGATGGCCCCCCCCTCGTTGGGGACCCCTCCCCGAATCGGGGACCCCCCCAAATCACCCCCTTTTTGCTCCACAGCTCTGTGGACGGGCGAGTCCGGCGCTACGACCTTCGGGCGGGGCAGCTCTACTCTGACTACATTGGGAGTGAGTTTTGGGGGGTGGGAGGGCTCTGGAGGCATTCTCAGGTTTTAGGGGGATGTCCTAAAGTGAGAAGAGAGCTCTTAAAATGAGGAGGGGGCTCCCTTTCCTCCCTTCCATGTCCCTGCAGGCCCCATCACCAGCGTGTGCTTCACCAAGGACAGGCTTCACCAAGGATGGGCAGTGATTTTGGGGGGTGGGAGGGCTCTGGGGGCATTCCCAGGTTTGAGGGGTGTCCTAAAGTGAGGAGAGAGCTCCTAAAGTGGGGAGGGGGTTCCCGTTTCCCCCCCCCCCGTGTCCCTGCAGGCCCCATCACCAGCGTGTGCTTCACCAAGGACGGGCAGTGTGTGCTGGTCGCCAGCCTGGACTCCACCCTCAGGCTGCTGGACAAGGACACCGGGGAGCTGCTGGGCGAGTAAGAGCCCTCCCCAAACCCCTTCCCACCCCTCCCGGGGGGGTCTGCAGGCCCCCCCCTCACCCCCAGCCCCCCTGCCCAGGTACACGGGGCACCGCAGCACCACGTACAGGCTGGACTGTGTCCTGAGCGAGCAGGACACGCACGTGGGCTGCGCCTCCGAGGACGGCCACGTCTACTTCTGGGACCTGGTGGAGGTGAGCAGGAGGTGCTGGGAGGGGCTTTGGGGACCCCCCCAGCCCCTCACTGACCCCCCCGTGTGCCCCCCCAGGGCTCGTTGGCGCTCAGCCTGCCCGTGGGCACGGGGGTGGTGCAGTCCTTGGCCTTCCACCCGCGCCTGCCCTGTGTGCTGGCGGCCACCCAGGGCCAGGTGACGCTGTGGAGGGAGGAGAACTTCCAGGCAGAGGGGGACCCCGACACCTGACAGCACTGGGGGGGTTGAGGGGCTGGGGGCCCCCCCAGGTTTGCCTGGAATAAGGAATAAACCCCCCCTGAGTGGAGACCCGGCTGTGGTTTATTGGGAGCTCAAATAAATACAAGCAGCGGGGAGGGGATCGGGGACAAGGGGATGGGGACGGGGGGGACACGGACAGGGGAGGGCAGGCGTGGAGGTCTCCTGTACCCCCCTCCCTCCCAGGGGGTGTCACCCCACTGTCCCCCCACCCTGGGGATGTGTGGGGATCACCCCGAGCCGGGGAGTCCCTCAGTGCCCCCCTGGCACCGGGAAGGCGTCGGCGCTGCGGGCGAAGGTCTCGGCCACCAGCAACGGGAACACCAGCGAGGCGTCGGCGTAAACCTGCGCCGGGGAGGGAGTCAGGGGGTTCTCCCCCTTCCAAAGCCCCCCCCAAACTTCCCCCCCAGGACTCCCCTGGACCCCCCCACCTTGACGGGGGTGGCGTCCACGCGGATCTTGCCCCAGGACACGGCCTCGTCCGGCCGCGCGCCCGAGTCGGAGCCGTCGAACTCCTGCGCCGTGTTCACGTACACGGAGAAGTCGGCGCCGTTCCGCTGATGGGGGGGACACAGCTGTGAGTCCGGGGGGGGCTCCCTGTGCCCCCTCCCCACCCCAGGGACACCCCCAGCCCCCCCTCCAAGCCCCCTCACCATGAGGTTGGCGTTGGCGATGTGGTGCTTGACCAGGCCCCCGCCCAGGATGATCATCCCGGTCTTGTGGGCGAAGATGGCCTGGGTGTTGATGAGCCGCAGGTCTGCGGGCACAGAGGGGGGGTCAGGACACCTGGAGACCCCCCTCAAAACCCCAGAGGGGACCCCCTGGCGGGTCACTCACCCTCCACAATGTCCAGCACCAGCCCCGGGCGCTTGTAGGAGTGGAAGAAGATCATGTCCCCGAGGGAACCGTCGGTGAGCGCCGGGCTCAGCACCGGGATGTTGTTCTGAGGGGGGGGACACGGTGACATCCCTGGTGACACCCCCCCAGCCCAGAGTCCCCCAGTGCTTCCCAGTGCCCCCCAGTACCTTCTGGGCCCAGTAACAGACCGACTCGGGGTGGTTGATCTCCTTGCCCAGCCGCGCGATCACCCGGGACGGCGTCCACCGCACGCCCTGGGGGGGAAACTGGGGTCAGGACCCCCGGCTTGGGGGGGTCTCGGGACCCCCTCAAACCCCACCTAGAGCCAGGGGCAACTCAGGTGTCCAGGGACCCCACAAACCTTCTCAGGTGGGTGGGTGTCCCCCCCTCACCTGCGTGTCCTGCTCCTCCACCATCCGGTCCAGGATGGGCATCAGCCAGTCCTC